ACCATATTTACCTTTTCTCAGCTTTTGCTCGAACCCTCAAATATGGTGCAACTATGATAAATATGTAGTATATATATTGTAAATGACATAGGCATCCCTTTGCTTCAATGAAAAGACTTGAGAGGACTTTAAAGAGGAAGGCATCTCTCACGAGTAAATAATTCAAACGAAAGTAACCAATACATATCTATTGATTTAATGTGATCATTTTTATATAGTGGTTATGTAAATATAAATAAGATAATTTGCTATTTGATAATCGAATTCAATAATTAATTTTAAGTAAATTAAATAATTTATTAAATTAAGTGTATTTGATAAGATATTTTTATATTATTTTTAAAAGTAAATTGTATTAAATGAAATAGAATTTTAAGTGATTGAATTCAATTATGACTAATGTTGAATGATGAATACTTAACTTTTTTTTTTTAAAAAATAATATTAAAAAATTTTCAATTTACATTATCACTTAAAATTCAGTTCTATTTTATTTTATTTTTTATTAAACAACGTTGAGTTCACAACTTCTCACTTTTCAATTAATCAAGTTGATTATTCTTTAATTAGGTCAACAAATACTACCATGCAGATGTTTCTCTAACTTATAACTTTTCTTGTCTTGTTAAAAAAAAATAAAAAAAAAATAAAATACCTATCTCATGTACAAGAGTCTTGTGGCCCACCGAAAATTTCTTTCTCCACCTCTCAGAGGCTTGTGAGTTTCTTGTCTGCCAATGACCGAAAAAAAAAAAAAAAAATCATATTTTAATTTCCAAATCACACCAAAGTTTACAACTTCTTGTTAGCTGATAACAATTCTCTTGATTTTGTAATTTTTTCTCTCCACCTAATCAAGTCAACAAAAACTATCATATTTTAAATTTCACTTGACGGGTAGTTGGGTTATCATCTGTTCTCTTCTTAATACTGTAAATAAATGACAAGATTCTCTTAGTAAATAAATGAAGTCCTCATTATTAGTTTAATCACATCCACACAACAAGGGAAGAAGTCCTCATTACTAGTTTAATCACATCCACACACAATAAAGAAGTCCACATTGTTAGTGTAAAAACAAATGCGCACGCACAGACACAGACACACACACACACAGCGCGCACAAGATTTGTCTGGCTTACTGCATCTGATGGAGCAGCAGCCAGTGACTTCATCCTTTTTTCACCCTTTTCTCTTCTCTTCTCTTCCCATATTATTCATAGCATTCCTCATCAAGAAATTGCTCCTCAATACTTCTACTATCAACAAACACCTACCACCTTCACCACCAAAGCTCCCAATTATAGGGAACTTCCACCAACTGGGCTCGCTCCCTCACCATCCACTCCGATCTTTAGCTCAACGATATGGCCCTCTCATGCTGCTTCACTTCGGCAGCACGCCGACACTCGTCGCTTCATCCGCTGACGCTGCTCGAGAGATCATGAAAACACATGATCTTGTCTTCTCAAACAGGCGGAAATCGATCATGGCTAAACGGCTTCTCTACAATTACAAGGATGTATCCATGGCACCTTATGGTGAATTCTGGAGGCAGATGAAAAGCATTTTTGTGCTCCAGCTTCTAAGTAATAGAAGAGTTCAGTCTTTTCACTTTGTCAGAGAAGAAGAAACCGCCCTCCTGATGAAGAAGATTGAAGAATCATCTTCTTCATCCTCGGCATTGAATTTAAGCGAAATAATCACGTTGCTAACGAATGATCTGGTATCTAGGGCTGCTTTCGGGAGGAAGTACAGTGGAGTGGAAAGCGGGAAGAAGTTTTTGCTGTTGTTGAAGGATTTCTCGGGGCTATTGGGCAGCCTTGATGTTGGGGACTTCATTCCATGCCTTGCATGGATCAATCATGCCACTGGTTTTTATGCTAAATTGGACAGAGTTGCAAAAGAGGTTGATGAATTCCTAGAGCAAGTAGTTGAAGAGCGTATGAATGTCCTGAAAAGGAAGAGTAATGGTGATGAGAGAGTTGAAGACCACGGCAGGGAGGATTTCCTTGATATCTTGCTTAGGATCCATAAAGACAATACTGCTGTTGATAAAGATTGCATCAAAGCACTCATCTTGGTAAGGATCGATCTCTGTGTGGGTGTGTGTCAAATTAGAAGTTTATTAAACCAGCAAGATATAACACAACACACACTCATCAGCAAAACAAGAAATGTTAATTCAACAATACAAATGAAACATCCGCATCAGAAAACAACAAAGGAATAAAAAATAGAAATGAACAGCAAAGGAATACAAATGAAATCAGCAAATATATCTCAGAAGAACTAGTTGTAGTATATATTTTGCTAAATTACTAGACTTGGCCCACCTAAGTCTCACCAAGAGCTTCCAATTCGCAAAATCTATCGATTTATCTGATTGAACTGCATCTAACAAAACTGAATTGCCTCCTCCAACTTTTATATCAACTTTTCCAAAAACATATATAGAGTTAGAATAGAACTCTTCAGAATTTGAGCAACAAATATATATATATACTAGAATCTTTTCTTCAACTAAATTGTTGAAAACCCAGATACACCAGCAAAAAAGTTCACTAATTTGAGTTAAATGCACTTTAATTCAACATGGAAAACAAAGAAGAAAACATGCATATAGTTCAATAGTTGTATACATCAAATTGAGTGATTACTTATTATATATTGTTATACACTCGATTTACCTCCTTGTTAACGCCAGGATGGTATTTTAGAGCAAGTTTCCGATAAGCCCTGTTCTAGTTGTTAAAGGCGCGCCTAGGCTCCAAAAAAGCCCCAGGCTCGTCAAGGCTCAGCTAGAGCGCCTCAACCTACTAAGGGCCAGGCTCCTTCAATCAGGCTCACATAAAGCCCTCATGTTCACACTTTTTAATAGGCTACAAGCTAAAAAAAGGCCACGCCTTGTATGTTTTAATCATTTATTCATATCATTTTCTTTTTTACTTGATGACTAGTAAATTAAAATGTTCTATATCATATATCTTATTGTTAAACCTTTTGAAATATTTGACAAAGTTCATAAATTTATGGTTCACTAGTTACATTAACTGCAATTACTGCTTGATTATGAATATATATAATAATATATGTTTAAATATGCATTATTACATACACGCGCCTTACTTCGATCAAGCTCGCGCCTTATACTGCGCCTTGCGCTTAGGCTCCACATGGCATTTGGCTCCTTAGTGCGCCTTGAGCCTTTAACCCTCTTGATTTCATCAGGAGTTGCAGAGGAGGTGACCCCCCAATACTTCATATGGAGACTCTCTGCGGCTAGATTTCACAAACTGTCTAATACTGCTTCTTTTCTTCTTCCTTTTATTTCTTTAACTTGGTGAAAACGCTTGTAAAGCATACGCAAGAAGGTTATAATTGCCTCCATAGCCTATTCTGCAACTGGGTATTGAAGTTTTGCTTGGTTTTGCGGATACAAAAACCTACAATGACTAGATCTTGGACAGAGATGAGATAGAGAGAGGACGGGATGATTGGTGTTAAACACAGAGCAAATTCGCGCATGAGAAAGAGATGAGAGAGAGAAGAGAGAGCAAATTCATGGACAGAGATGATAGAGAGAAGATGTGGGTCAGATCGGTTGGTTTTGGAGTAAGGTTGAATAGCAGTTAGTTTTGATCAAGTAACATTTGTAGCAGAAAGGAAAGAGGCTTCAACTGAAGACCAGCTTTCCAAACTTAGAGCAATCCAGTAAAGGAACTCTTACTAGATATTTCCCAATTACTAGCCTTACAAGATATATTCAACTAGACTCGCAAATCTAATCCAATCCAGTAAGATAAATTTTTAATGCAAAGAGGATTGAAAAAGTCTCAACTTTTCAATTGAAACAGAATGGAGCTTTATCTAGTGTATAGTGGACTTCGCACAAATAATGAAATAAGTCATCTACCCTAAAAATTTATTTAGGCTGTATTAAGTAAAAGACCAATCCAGCACAACCCTTTACAAATCTGATTGATATATAGTTGCTAATCGTTTTATAATTGCAACAACTAATTTTTTTTTTATGCAATTCGTGTGTGTGTGTGTGTGTCTGTGCACGATGGCTAGTTGCAAGAATATTTACATCAAGGATACTCACATATTTTGAACAAACTATACTAACCATCTGAAGTTGTTTTTTTCTTCTGATTCTTGCAGGACATCTTTGTTGGTGGAACTGACACCACTTCCACAGTCCTAGAATGGGCAATGACAGAGCTATTAAGACACCCAAGAGTCATGAATGATGTGCAAAATGAAGTGAGAGAAATTCTTAAAGGTAAGCCACACATAACAGCAGAAAATCTGGATAAAATGCACTACCTTAAAGCAGTGGTCAAAGAAACTGTTCGTTTGCATCCTCCTTTCCCATTACTCGGACGTGAAGCGAGTGAAGATGTCAGAGTAATGGGCTATGACATTCCAGCCGGAACAGCAGTTATTATCAATGCCTGGGCAATCGGAAGGGACCCCGTGACATGGGTTGAACCTGAAGAGTTTCAGCCTGAGAGGTTCTTGAATTCTTCTATAGATTTCAGAGGGCATGACTTTGAATTGATTCCATTTGGAGCTGGCAGGAGGGGCTGCCCAGGGACCTCCTTCGCAATTGCCACCAATGAGTTTGTGTTAGCAAATCTAATGCACAAGTTCAACTGGGCATTGCCTGGTGGAGCCAAGGGAGAACATCTGGACTTGACTGAATGCTCTGGTGTTACAATCCGCAGAGGAATACCTCTCCTTGCTGTTGCAACTCCATGTTCTTGCTAGTGTAATCTGTGACATTGTCATGTTTGTTGCATGTTTCCTGTTTTCGACAATAAAACATAACTAAAAAGAGTGTGTGTAAAAATAGACCAAGTACAATTAGCTTAAAGAATTATTGGATTGTGAATTAGATAATGAGAACTGAAATCCTAGAAGAAACTTTTCTGACTTGTCACATTTGTTTGTGTTACACTCATCTTGTCTGACAAAGCATGAAAAAAGATTACACTTGGATACAAGATGCTGTCAAGGTGACTAACCCAGTATATAATTTTTCCAGTTAATGATAACACGAGAGACAAAATGAAAAATCATCACTGTTAGAAAGAGCTTTTTGAGTCCAAGTGACTGCAGTAATTTGGAATATGGAATTCCACTTAATCAAATCACCTACAATACCAGATACCTCATCACTGGAATTATAATCCCTGGCTGAAATGTCATGTGGTAAAATGTGGGTGGCAAACGACCCCTCCTGACCAATATGGGAACTGGCACACCCTGACCCCAACCGATGTCCAGGTTCTTTCAACCCATAGAAATTGGAATAAACGTTTCTCTGTGGAGGAACAGAATAACAATTTATTCCATGTAACCTACATCAATCCATTTGACTTCTTTCGCTAAAAAAAAAAAAGTACCTTCAAATTGATCGCAACCCTACTTAACCCGCTAGACTTTTTTTCTTTTATTTTCATCCTTAATGATCCGTGCACGCAGTATGCTGTGTTTAGAATAATGTAATAGAAAGAGTACTAGCAAGGGCAAGAATAGGATCAAATACGACCATGTGTTGGCTTTAAGATTCATGATAACGAAAAGCTACACAGATATCTCAAATCATATACAAATTAGATCTGCAGTAACAAGAGATCAAAGGGTTTAAACCATTCCTATAAAGTATAGCCATGTTTGGTTTAATTATTTAACAGAGTATGATATTTGAAAAAGAGAAATAGTTTTCAAAATATTATGAGAGATTCTCCTCTAAAATTGAACAATAAAATACTATTCAAAGTCATGTCTAGTTTAACTAAATTAATTTCAATTCCAAATTCAAGTCGCTGATTCGGTGTTCCCAAACGCAACAACAATGAAATCCTCATTAGTTTAAAAACAAGTGTGGGCGTGCACAGAAAAGGGATGTGTCTAGTTTTCTGCATTTGAAGGAGAAGTTACTGACTTCACATATTGTTTAATACTTTAATCTCATGCAGACACATAAAGAAATCTTCATTAGTTTAAAAACAAGTGCTCTAACACGCATACTAAGGGATCTGTCTAGCTTTCTGCATCTGAATCTGATGGAGCAGCTAGTGTCTTCATTTCTCTTGTACCCATTTTTCTTCTCTTGTCTTCCGTTATTATTCGTAGCATTCCTCATCAAGACATGGCACCTCAATACTTCTACTATCAACAAACACCTACAACCTTCACCACCAAAGCTCCCAATTATAGGAAACTTGCACCAACTGTACTTGCCCGCTCACTGCTCACTCCGATCTTTATCTCAACGACACAGGCCTCTCATGCTGATTCACCTCGGCAGCAGGCCGACACTTGTTGCCTCATCCGCTGACACTGCTTGAGAGATCATGAAAACACATGATCTTGTCTTTTCAAACGAGCCAAAATCGAACATTGCTAACTGGCTTCTCTACAATTACAAGGATGTGATTACGGCCCCTAATGGTGAATTCTGGAGGCAGATGAAAAGCATATTTGTACTCCAGCTTCTAAGTAATAGAAGAGTTCAGTCTTTTCATAATGTCAGAGAAGAAGAAACAGCCCTCCTGATGAAGAAGATGGAAGAATCATCTTCTTCATCCTCGCCATTGAATTTAAGTGAAATGTTCACGCTGCTAACGAATGATGTGGTATGCAGGGTTGCTTTTGGGAGGAAGCACAGTGGATGGGGAGATGAGAAGAATTCTATGCTGCAATTGAAGGATTTCGCGGGGTTGTTGAGCAGCTTTGATGTTGGGGACTTCATTCCATGGCTTGGATGGATCAATCATGTCACTGGTCTTTATGCCAAAGTGGACAGAGTTGCAAAAGAGATTGATGAATTCCTGGAGCAAGTAGTTGAAGAGCGTGTGAATGTCCTGAAAAGGAAGAGTTATGGCAATGAGAGAGTTGAAGACGAAGGCAGGGAGGGAGGATTTCCTTGATATTTTGCTTAGGATCCATAAAGAAAATATTGATGTTGATAGAGATTGCATCAAAGATCTCATCTTGGTGAGGATCTGTGTGTGTGTGTGTGTGTGTGTGTGTGTGTGTGTGTGTGCATGTGTGTGTGTGTCAAATTAGAAGTTTAATAAAGAACCAGAAAGATACAACACAACACCCACTCATCAGCAAAACAAGAAATGTTAATCAAACAATACAAATGAAACTTCCACATCAGAAAACAGCAAAGGAATACAAATGAAATCAGCAAATATATTTCAGAAGAACTAGCTTCGACTGAAGACCAGCTTTTCAAACATAGAGCAAACCAGTTAAAGTACTTGATGTTACCAGATATATTCAACTAGCCTCACAAATCTAATCCAATCTAGTGAGATCAATTTTTAATGCAAAGAGCATTGAACAAGTCTCAACTTTAGATTTACAGGGGAAAAAAAAAAGTCTCAACTTTCCAATTGAAACGTAATGGAGATTTATCTATCTATAGTGTATAGTGGACTTTGCACAAATTAGCAATCCATTCTGAATATTTCTTTAGGCTGTATTAAGTAAAAGACCAATCCAGTACAACCCTAAACAAATCTAATTGATATATAGCTGCAAATCATTTAATAATTGAGACAACTAATTTTATGTCATGAATTGTCTCTCTCACTCTTAAGTCTGTCCTCTCTGTGTGTGTGCATGATGGCTAGTTGCAAGGATATTCACATCAAGGATACAAACATATATTGAGCAAGCTTTACTAACCATCTTAATTTGTTTTATCTTCTGATTCTTGTAGGATATCTTTGTTGCTGGAACTGATACCACTTCCACAGTCCTAGAATGGGCAATGACAGAGCTATGAAGACACCTGAGAGTCATGAATAATGTGCAAAATGAAGTCAGAGAAGGCAAACCACACATAACAGCAGATGATCTGGAGGAAATGCACTGCCTTAAAGCAGTGGTCAAAGAAACTGTTCGTTTGCATCCTCCTATCGCATTACACGGACTTGAAGCGAGCGAAGATGTCAGACTAATGGGTTATGACATTCCAGCCAGAACAATGGTTATTATCAATGCTTGGGCAATCGGAAAGGACCCCATGTCATGGGTTGAACCTGAAGAGTTTCAGCCTGAGAGGTTCTTGAATTCTTCTATAGATTTCAGAGGGCACGAATTTGAATTGATTCCAGTTGGAGCTGGCAGGAGGGGCTGCCGAGGGACCTCCTTCGCAATGGCCACCAATGAGTTTGTGTTAGCAAATCTCATGCACAAGTTCGATTGGGCATTGCCTGGTGGAGCCAAGGTAGAACATCTGGACATGACTGAATGCTCTGGTGTTACAATCCGCAGAGGAATACCTCTCCTTGCTGTTGCAACTCCATGTTCTTGCTACCGTAATCTGTGACATTGGCATGTTCGTTGCATGTTTCCTGTTTTCGAGAGTAAAACATATTTAGAAAGAGATTGTGTAAAATATTGACTAAGTACAATTAACTTAAAGCATTATTAGATTGTGCATTAGATAATATTTAACTGAAATTCTACACAAATAAAAAACAACCTTTTGGCTTATCACATTTGTTTGTGTTACACTCATCTTGTCTAAAATATGATAGAGGAGTGTTGGAATGTAATTCTATATAGAACACGGAGCATGAAAACAGATTGCACTTGGATACAAGATGCTGTCAAGGTGACTAACCCAGTAAACAATTTTCCCAGTTAATGATATAATATTTTGAGCTCAATCAATAAAAGTGACAAATGAAACATCATCACTGTTAGAAAGACCTTAATGGATCCAAGTGACTGTAGTAATTTGGAATTTGAAATTCATGTTAATCAAATCACCTACAATACCAGATACTGCATCACTGGAACTAAAATGTTCTATGGTAAAATGTGGATGTCAAAGGACCCTGCCTGGCCAATATGGGAACTCACCCACCATAACCCAAACCGGCAACCCATAGAAATGATAACGAAAATGTACGCAGATAGCTCAAATCATATACATATTAGATCTGTAGTAACAAGAGATCAAAGAGTTACCATGCCCATAAAATACATGTTCTGGTGGGACAGACATAGTATAGCTTCCCCTTATTGTTATTATGGTTGTACTTTGGTACTTTGATAGAAGCTATTTTCCCACAACAACAAATTATATTCTTATACCTCAAATCTTCACCATCATTAGATTGTGTAGTTGAAGTAGGACAGTTTCGATTTCAATTTACAACTGTGAACAAAATAGTCATTACCAGTTACATCAGTCAAGAACGCAGATACATAAAATATTTGTGCGAAAGCAATTTCAGTAATGAGAATGACATGCATAACAGTAATCACTAAGTTATTACTTGATTAGTACGAAACGATTTAGGGATTTGATAATGAAATCGAGTTGTTTGCTTTAATTCATTATAAATCAATGAGTTCATACACCATCTGTGCGAAACAATTTAGGGATTTGATAATGAAATCGAGCTAATTCGTATTATGACATGCAATGACCTAAATTCGTGCTGTGAAAAGGGAAGAATACCTACGGTATGGTTGCGAAGCAATTTCCAATTGCTAGGGCTTCGGATTGACCATTATGAGGAAGAAGAAGATGGCCTGCGACAACTTGCTAGGGTTTTGAATTGAAGCTTGATGAAGAAAGATGACCGTTGTGACTTGTGCAAATGTAATGGATGGTAGCGCGATTCGGGTCGGGTAATGTTGGTAAATTTGAAGATAGCTCTTTTGCCCGTGACACAAATTATTGGCGTTGTGACTGGAGAGAGCATAGAATATCCGGGTACTTGCATCTTCAACTAATGCATAAAAATGCGTTGTGGAATAAATTTTCATTCTTAATCTAAATTGTATATCAAATAAAGAAATAATTGAAATAGATATTTAATTTTATTTCTGTACATTAAATATAATATATGTGTATAATTTTCTGCATCTGATGGAGCTGCTACTGACCTCATTTCTTTGGCATCCATTTTTCTTCTCTTCTCTTTCCATATATATATATATAGCCACGAACCAACCTTAAAAAGCAAACTAATGGAGCCACTTGCTATTGTTATTATTAATTTTCCTTCTGTTTTTGTGATTTTTGAAGTTCGGGTTTTGTTAGTAAAAGGGTATATGATTGGCACTGTAATTTTTTAATTTTATTTTATACATTCATGAAGCTATGATTCCAGTTGAAAAATGGAGATAAACTATATATATTATACATGAATTGCTAGTGTTTCTAGTGATTGAAGGTTAATAACTTTGTAACAGGTAAAGCTGTACGTGGTCTTCGTCAGTTACAGAAAAGAAGAGATCGAAAACCTTTTAAAGTGATGCAGGTAGGGGTAGTTTGGGCATTTAAAATTTTTATTTGACTGAAATTTAACGGACAAGTTAATATAGGAGCTATCTGCTTAAATAAATGTCGGTGAACACATACACAAACAAATCTGTCGAGTTTTTGATGATGGAGTTGCTGCTAACTTCATTTCTTTGGCATCCATTTTTCTTCTCCTCTTTCCGTACATATATGGTCTTCTCTTTGAATTAGTCAAAACCCATATTCCTTATTTGTCTCAAACTAAGTTAAAATTAGAGCTTTCTTATCATAACCCAACTTTCCTTCCTTTATAGGGCTTTAGTTATTGACCCAATGACAAATTCCAATATTTCCTTCTAAGTCAGCAAATATGCTATGAAATACTCAACTGTAATACCCCTAATTTCAAAAGAATAGTCCTGGTATTTCCTTTATTGGTTAAATTTCAATTTTTAATTGTTTATATGTATATGTGTTTATTTAATTATTTTTACTTTATTTACTTGTTTTAATTATTGATTTAGTTGTCGTTAATTTATTTAATTGTGTTACTGTTTTACTTATTGATTTAATTGTATTAATTATTTAATTGTTATTTAATTATTTTGTGCTACTTTGTTGTTTTAATTATTGCTTTAATGATATATTTTAATTACATTTAATTAGTTGTATTGTGACTGTAGGATTGGTTGCATATATAGGTTACACAGTTTATAGCCAACATTGGTATTAACCTAGATTTTTGTATGGGCCGAGTAAATCTAGTTAGGGTTTAAGAGAGCTAGGATTAATGTGGCCTATAAATACTCACCTAGGATGTCTACCTAGGGTTTTAGAGATTTACTACGATATAGTAAGGTTGAGAGAAGTTTTGGAGACGGTTGGGAAAGAACAGAGGATTTGCCGGAAATTTGAGACGAACGTCGGTGTAAGGCAAGTTCTATCCTTACTCTCTCCCTTAGGCTTCGTGTTCTTTGCATTCTTAAACAGTTATAGGATTAATTGAATCAATTATAAATTTTCTCTGTTCGTGCTTAAACTGAAACATATCAGTATGTGTTGCATGCTTGAAAAACCTGTCAAAACATGTTATTTGCTTGCTTAATTCTCTGTTTAAACCTATGTAAGGAAGGTGTTAATGATTTAAACATGGACTGGGAACCTACTGGGATTGAGTTACAACTTCTAGAAACGATAGCGTAGAGCAAAGAAGTTGCAGAAGACGTCTGAAGAAGAGGGAAGGCAAAGAGACGAGGCAGAGAGGGAGAGAGCCGGCTCTCCCTCCCTTTGATGTGGAGGCGGCTCCCAAGTGTGGGAGCCTGGTCCAAGGCCTAAAGAAGGCAGCTCCACTTTTGGGAGACGTCTCCTTGCTGAGTTTTTAATTTTTTTTCTCCGTTTTCGTTCAGTTTTGGTTACAGTGGTTGGTTCTTTAAGGTTTCAGTTGAGTTTAGTGCTATATGTGAGGTGTATGGATGATGCTTAGAGACAATTCTAAGACTTCAGGAGGCATGTTAATAATCTAATTATGGTTGTCACTTGAACAGTATACGTTGTAAACAAAATAACACACTGTGGTTGGAGTCGAAAGAATTAATACGGTTTAATTCTCTGTGATTTGTAATCTTCTGAGACAGATAATATAATTAAAACATGTTTTATCATATATCATGATCATGTGTCTGAATTATATTTGTTTTGGATGAATTGGTGTTAAGTGACTTTAGGATTTAAACAAACTTAGCACTATACTGGATTTTGTGAAAACATTACAGATCAAGCATGTCTATGTGTATACTGTAATTCTGTGCTGATGTTTTCATTATCACTGTTAGTAACAATTATTGGAGGCATGGATTTTGTTGATGTTTACCTTAACTATCTATAATATCAACTGCTGGAGGTTGAATGCTATTAAGATTTAAACTTGGCACGAAATCGGATTGTATGGAACAACCTAAACTGAATAGGTTTATATATATACCGTGACTATGTTAATTGATGCTTACACTATAGTTGTTAGTATCAGTGATGGATATAAAGCTGAACATATTTATGTATAAGGTTAACTGTGTTTATTGATGCTTACAATATGACTGTTAGTATCATCAATAGAGATATGGATTTAGTTGATATTTATTGTAGTCGTCTGTATTATCAACTGCTGGATGATTGGATAGTATACACCGGTATGAGACGGTGGTATACTAGGGACGGTTTGGTTTCAAAATACCAAAACCTACCTACTCTGAATTAAGAATTGGATTAACTAAAAGTTAAGTCCTACTGATTGTAGTGAGGCAACGACTAGTTGAGCGGCACTACTAGGATACATAATGGATTTTAAATATATTGTTATGGTACCTCGATATGAGCTTGAATCTCAGGATCGACGGTTAGGGAGCGTATATGCATTGGGATACATAGTTGGATACGATGGTTGGAGGTGTACCTTATTTAGGTTTAGGTACACATGCCCACTTCGTGTGCGTTTTAGCATGTTACCTCTATTCAGGTTGAGACTGGCCTGTAGTCCAGTGAGAGTGCTTTAGTGTGACTATATATATATATTT